TAGTTTAATATTAGGATCTGAACCTCAGACAATGGGTGCTTCTTAGTTTTGTCTATTACACTAGAAAAAAGTCCGTTTAAAGATGCTGTTATAGAGCAAATTATGAGTTCGGTGGAAAATGTGGATATGCTGTATTCTTGCCAATCCACAAGATGAGTTAGCAACCAACGCCCAACATACAATATTTCTGCTGGGAATAGATTTCAAATATAGAACACAAACACCTGATACAATGAACAATGTGATAAACATCAGCCCTGAATATTTATCTGAATTATTCTGAAATGTGTGGAGGGAGAAGTTTACTCTCCTTGATTTTAAATCCCTCCTGCTTTGTGGTAACACAGGTGGCCACACAGGTGATCTCAGAGCTGGATTGCATCATTTTTTCTCAAATTTAAACAAAGTTTTTCCTGCCCAAGGCTTAGATAAGAGGACACCTCCCCCCGACTCCTCCCAAAGGATGAACTTGAATCACTGGTGGAAAAGGCAGGGTAACACTATCAACTTCCAACAGTCTAGATAACATCTACCAAGCAGCCAGTAGGCATTTTAAAATGAAAATACGTGCTGTTCAGTGCAATCTTAGTGCATTCCGAGAAGTACCATGCACATTTCATGAGCCAAATTAAAAAAAAAAATGAGGCAAGACCTGGAATCAAGTTTGCGTTTCTTCAAGAGTCCATTTTATGTCCATTAAAAGGCCACACGATCTCACAAATGCATTTTAATTTCCAGTTGAGGATTAGATATGGAGCATGGGAGGACCACATCAGTACTTCCAAGTCATATATCTCAATCCATTTTTGTAGGCACTAGTGCAAATGTAGCTAGATTTCTACAGGTTCTGAATGTCCACCACTCTCAGATTTGGTTCTCACACTTTCGAAAATCAAGACATTAATTTATGTTGCTAATTACGGAGCTGAAAATGTTGGCTATAGGTTGTAACTTGCATAGGTGGTCTGTATAGTAGCGAGCTGGATCCTGTGAGTCAGAACTGTTACTCTCCTTGCTTTGAAGCTATTTATCTGATTTTGGGGAGGTCATTCAGGTTTACTTTTTCAAGTGCCCATTCATTTTGGGTGTCCAGTATCTGGCCTGACTTTTAAAAGGTGTTGAAAACTCATCACTCCGGTAAACTTTAGTGTGAACTGTTAATAATCAGCTCTTGGAAAATTCAGGTATACGGATCTAAAGTTGGACACCAGCATAAGTATGAACTACTGAAAAATGTAAGGCCTCAATCTCTCTTATCTGTGTTTACCCCTCTGAAAAATCCCTAATACATATCCTAGAGGGATAGATATTGTGGTGTTTAGTGGTTGCAAACAGCTCTGAGCCTGGATAAAGACAGCATACTGCAGAGTGTGCTGCAAACTGTTCTCTTTCTAAAAATCTTAAAAAGTCAAAAATGTGTTTCAAATTAAGGGATGATTAGAGTTGTCAGCCATTGTTTAATTTTAACTGCTTCTGTATTTCCTCATTTGTGTCACAACACTACCATAGGCTTACAATCAATGCAGTAAAATCAATGCAACCATCATTGCAGATGCATTTAAACTGGTATATTCCTTACTTGGTGCAGTTTAAGTTAGAGGTATGCTAAACCAATGTAAAAGCGAGGGTTAACATTGTTTGAGTATACCTATATTATGGGTTTTTGTCAGTTCAACTAAATTACCCCAAACTGTAATGATCATCACCATCTCAACATTGTTTTAATCAAATAGTGTATTATTCTAAGCTGCGGGGTGAAGTTATCTGGTTCTCAGTGCCAGAAACATCATTTGAACTTCTGGCCTCTCACCACATGAGTTTGTGCTCTTCCAGATTGTATCAAGTGTACTGAAAATTTGTTAGCCCTTGTGTAAAAATAACAGTGAAGCTTGATTTGCTCCATTTCATGGTTTCCTATGAAGGACAATATTTCCACAGGATTTACAAGCTGGTTCTCCATCAACACATGCAGCCAACAAATGACTCTGACACTGAAACAGCTGCAGCTGTATTTGCAACTCCTGCCTTATGGAACTGGAATGCTATTCTAGCAGGGCTAAATGTGAAACCCAAACTTCTCAACTATTCAGAAACCTTTGCTTTTATTTAGCCGGCCATTAGCCATGTGGTTTACTTTTTAATCTTTTTTTAAACAAAGCATGCCTGGCTTTTTACAGCAAGTTGTACGGTTCATTCCCAGGCCAAAAATGGAAAGTTTGAATTGGAACAAAGATCAAGATGGCAAATCTTGCATTGAAAGAGGAAAACTTGACAAGAATTTTTAGGAGCATTTCTTCTAAGAAAAAATCCCAAGGTTAAATTTAAAAGATATGTAAATATTGGAAAGTGTGGTGGGCGTACAATTGGCTGGCACCCAGACAACTCCACTAGAGCAGAATTTTGCTAAATGTAAGTTTGCTATCACATAAATATTTTTTCTATCATAACAGTACCCAAGATTCCCATTTCCCAAGGTGTCTGTTGTGCTGAATGCTATACCAATGCATAGAACAGGGTAGGCAACCCCCGGCACAGGTGCCAGGCTGTGTGCAAAGGCATTTTGCTTGGCACATGTGCCTCAGGGCAGATGGCAGGGAAGGGGCCGCGGCTGTGCTACCATAACAAGGATTGACACTTCTGGCTCCCCCACTGTCTGCCCCTGGCATCCCTACATCTTACAAGTCAAGGTTGTGGGTGCTTTTGGCACTCTGCCCAAAAACATTGCTGACCCCTGGCATAGAACATAATACTTGTAGGAAGTTTATAACAGCATTAATTTCACTTGTATAGTGCCTCTGTCCAAAATTATCATGGTACTTCAGCAACTAAACCTCCAAAATCCTTTTGAGGCAGGTAACTATCATATTTATTTCATTGTAGGGGCATGGAAACTGAGTCATATTCCAAATTATTTGCCCACATTCACCAAAGGAGTCAGCAGACAAGTAGAGATTAGAACAAACACATTTTATTCCCAGGTATTTATAACCCAAGGGTCATGAATATATACAATGCTATATTATCACTCTGCAGATTATACTCTGCCCAGCATTGTGATACCTTTGTCTACATTAGTAATGCTACAGTGCAAACTAAAACAACTATTTATTGAGAAGCTGACTGCTACAGGAAAACTTCAAGGAAGATGTAATTTTGTAATAGGCTATACATAGTACAAAATTAAACTGAAGACGAAAAATCAAATTATTTTCTGGGAGATACGATTACTGTGATCATTGAAATTATTTTATAGGTTTAAGGAGTATCTGTCTACATAATTAAATGCATCTTTTAAAAATTATGCGTCATTCTCTGAATTCTAATCTTCTCCCACTTGAATTTTGTATGGGACCAGAAACTTCTGAACAGCTGTGGGGGGAACTATGGACTTGCATGTGACTAAAGTATTTGTTCTAGTGAAGCTACAAGGAAAAAAATTCAGAGTAAGTAATTTCTAGTGGAAGTAGAATAGTTAGATAATTGGCTATTTCATGAGATTTAATAGTGTGTTTGAATTTCATACTTCTGATGAGATCAGCAAAGTGCTTTTCTCCTCTGAACAGCATTGCACAATTATTTGTGTGCACTGCATTGTGACAAGTTTCTCCCTAACTTTTCAGAATCTTTTTCCTTCCATATCCCTGACCCCTGTTAGAGATATATTGACCTTATTGTTTCATGGTCTGAATATTTTGGCACTAATTAGCTGGGGTGGCTGTGGTTTAGCTAACTTCACTCCTTGACACATGCAACAGAAAAGGTAGAAGAAACATTACTGGAAAAATTAAAGTCACAAAATAAGAAGCAGTAAAAATTATTATGCAATATTGCTGTATTGAAGTTTTGGGTTAATGTTCATGGTTGTTAAAGAGAATTCAGCAGCATCTCATTTAAAAAAAAGTTCAGAGCAGCATTGTCATATTAAGACCATTGCAGTTTACAGCTGTGTTCATGAAGGGATATGGAACATCACTGTAGATTTCTGCATCATACATTTTCATAAGGAATGGGCAGAATCATCATAAAAAAATTCAACTTCTGCTATGTGACTCATAGCAGAGGAAAAGGGAAAACATGAAGACTACCAATAGGACAGCTGGTAGTTGGAGTCAGTGATTAGGGGCATTTTCATACTGGGGGTAGGGTAATGGCTGGATAGGAGCTATTTTATAGTTAATTGTTATCAGTTTGATACTGCTTAATGTCTGTAAAACCCTGGCACAGGAAGTCCTCCTTATAAAGCAGCACCAGGAATTTTATGGGGAGGCAGCATTCAGTCTTGTTCTATTTTATAAAATTTAGCCAGGTTTTTATGATGGATACAGGCTGCAATCTTTCCCTGCTTCTGGCCAACACAACTATCCCAATATAGCCTGCCAACAGAAAAATACTTTTGTCCACTTACTTTATGTCTTTTATGTCCATCCAAGCAGAAAAGCTACTCCTTGCTGTTAGATGCTGCATTTTCATAAGGGGTCTCTGCCAACATAGCAACACTAGCATAGCTATAGTAACAGAGGCTCTATTGAAGATGAGCCTTCTCAGATACTATGGCAATGTGAACTATATAATGGCTAATACAAAAGCCTTTACCTGCTGCTATACTGTTCCAAACTGGAGTGGTTATTGATGTACCAAGAGCTGTTCATGTGATGAAATTCCCCATTACGGCTATGAGTGTAACAATATCATTAGAATTATACTAATACATGTCCCTTTCTGGACACTCTTATTGTTGAATAATAATTTCCATATGAATACATATACTGATGTGATCATACCTACATAACTGTAGGGACGTGTCTTTTATTAAAATCTTTCTGATGGTGTTTCAGATGTTTCTAGATACTCAATGAATAAATCATAAGATAAATATGGCCACGGATTGTAATAAATTATTAAACAAGAATTGAATGTGCTCAACTGTTCACCATGAATAATAAATTGATTGACTTTTAAAAACTGTAAATTCATACTAATTATAGTTTTTTTATTTCTAGATGCAGAGCCAAGGTACTTGATTGTAGTGCGACCTGCACGCACTTCAAATAAGAAAACCTGCTCAGGTAATGTAATATTGCCATGCCTCTTTCAATGTCAAATAAAGACAATGTTGTTTATGTAATGGAACTGAAAGGGCCATATTTTAAAGAGTGAGTCTCCAAGTGAGGTAGCCAAATCCACATTTGAGTAATTAAAAATAAAATTTTAAGTATACATATCTAGGCAGTGCTTTGGTTATATATATATAGATATAGATCTATATAGATATCTTAAAACACACAGATGTAATACATGAAGGGTCTTATACTGACTTCTTGGATGAAAAATGTGAGATTTCAAATACTAAGTTTCCGTTTTTTAGAATACGGAGACCAAAAGTGTGTAGGAAAAAGTTGTCTTGGTTGGTTTAATGTTGATGCTCAGTTATAAACAATAATTTTGCTTTGAACTATACTGATTTAAACATGGGAGGATCTATGATCCCCAAGTTATGGTGAAGCATGGTCACTCTTGAAAATAGGCTACAGATACAGGGGGACCTAGACAGGCTAGCAAGTTGGGTGGATCGGAACCTGATGAAGTTCAGCGTCGAGGAATGTAAAGTACTCCATCTTGGGACAAGCAACCCCCAACACATGGCATCTGCCTTTGCTGCTGGCAGCTGCCTGGGGCTGCCATGCACACTCCAGGCGTTGGCAGTGGCCGCAGCAGCTAGTAGCAGAGGCAAAGTGGCCATGCAGAGTGGGCTGGCAGAGCTCAGGGGCTGCCACACAGGGCCTGCTCCCAGCCAGGTCCAGCCTCTGTGCGTAGGGGATAGAGCCTGTCCCAAAATGCTCTTTAGAAACTTGAATGAAATTCATGCCTTAAAGGAAGGACCTTATACACATTATCAGAGTGCTGAGGGTGGCATCCCAAGTTAAGGATAGCAAAAAATTGTTTTTCAGATATATAGGGAGTAGAAAGAAGGCCCAGGGCAGTATAGGACCACTACTGAATGGGCAAAAGCAATTGGTGACAGACAAGGAGGACAAGGCTGAACTCCTCAGTGAGTTCTTTGCCTCAGTGTTCCTAAGCAAGGGGCAAGACAAGTCTCACAATGGGATTGTAGAGAGGCAACAGCTGGGTGCCAAACTACTAAACATTGACCCTGAGATGTTATAGAGTCACTTGGAAGGACTGGACGTGTTTAAGTCAGCAGGCCCGGATGAGCTCCATCTAAGGGTACTGAAGGCACTGGCTGATGTCATTGCACAGCCACTGGCAAGAATATTTGAGCACTTGTGGCACATGGGACAGGTCCCAGAGGACTGGAAGAGGGCCAATGTGGTCCCTATTTTCAAGAAGGGGAGGAAGGAGGATCCAAGCAACTACAGGTCAGTCAGTCTCACCTCCATCCTTGGTTAAGTCTTTGAAAAGATTATTAAGGCTCATATATGTGAAAGCCCAGCAGGAAAAATTATGCTGAGGGGAAACCAGCACAGGTTCGTAGCAGGTAAATCATGCCTGACTAATCTAGTCTCTTTTTATGACCAGGTTACAAAACACTTTGACACAGGAGTAGGGGTTGTCATCATTTACTTAGACTTCAGGAAGGCCTTCGATACGGTATCCCACCCCATACTGGTGAACAAGTTAAGAGGCTGTGACTTGGATGATTGCACAGTCCGGTGGGTGGCAAATTGGCTAGAGGGTCATCCCCAGAGAGTGGTGGTGGATGGGTTGGTATTGACCTAGAAGGGGACGGGTAGTAGGGTCCCACAGGCATCGGTCCTTGGACCGATACTCTTCAATGTCTTCATCAGTGACTTGGACGAAGGAGTGAAGTGTAGTCTGTCCAAGTTTGCAGATGATACAAAACTGTGGGGAGAAGTGGACACACCGGAGGGCAGGGAACAACTACACGAAAACCTGGACAGGTTGGACAAATGGGCAGAAAACAGCAGAATGCGATTTAACAAGGAGAAATGCAAAGTGCTGCACCTAGGGAGGAAAAATGTCCAGCACACCTACTGCCTAGAAATAACCTGCTTGGTAGCATGGAAGCGGAAAGGGATCTTGGAGTCCTAGTGGACTCCAAGATGAATGTGAGTCGTCAGTGTGACCAAGTCATCAGAAAAGCTAACTGCACTTTATCATGCATCAGCAGATGCATGACAAACAGAACCAAGGAGGTGATATTTCCCCTTTACTGGGCGCTGGTCAGACCGCAGTTGGAGTACTGCGTGCAGTTTTGGGCACCACACTTCAAGAGGCATGTGGATAACCTGGAGAGGGTCCAGAGAAGGGCCACTCCTATGGTTAAGGGCTTGCAGGCTGAGCCCTACGAGGAGAGACTAGGGCACTCTTCAGCCTCCTCAAGAGAAGGCTGAAAGGCGACCTGGTGACTGCCTATAAATTCATCATGGGGGTGCAGAAGGGAATTGGTGAGGCTCTACTCACCAAGGTGCCCCTGGAGGTCACAAGAAATAGTGGCCATAAGCTAGCAGAGAGCAGATTTAGACTGGACATTAGGAGGAACTTCTTCACAGTTAGAGTGGCCAAAATCTGGAATGGGCTCCCAAGGGAGGTGCTGCTCTTCCCTACCCTGGGGGTCTTCAAGAGGAGGTTGGATGGGCATCTGGCTGGGGTCATCTGAACCCACCACTCTTTCCTGTCTATGCAGGGGGTCGGACTCGATGATCTATTGAGGTCCCTTCTGACCCTAACATCTACGAATCTATGAATCTACTAACCTCCCTAATACATCCTGCAGAAGGGAAAAGCCATAAGTGTGGTGTTAAGAAGTTTTGAGTTCTTTTCCTGTGTGATCATTAGCAAGTCATTTACGCTATTAGCACTTTACTTCCTCCTCTTAATATGTAGATAACTCTCTGCTTCCAAAATCAGTATGGTGAAAGATAAATTCATTAATATTTTTAAAGAGTTTGAGATCCTCAAATGAAACATTTCTAACCATCTATGGCTTTGAGGAGCTAATTTCTCTACCCTCGCTTGCAGGCATGAAGCAATATTTTAATTCAGTAGAGGCACATTAAAAGTTACGATAAGTGATTGCTGTTAAGATATTGCATTAAAAAATTAAACTGCCTAAAGCTACAGTTGAGGATTATTAACTTGATTAGCTTCTTCAGTCACAGGAAATTTTAATTAGATCAAGTTCACTAAATGATTTGTCTGAACCATTCTCCCAGGTACAGCTTTGCTAACCTTAACTAATATAGATATGTAACGGGGTCCTAGCCCAGGGGTGGCCATAATGCCCCTGGATCTCTCTCAGTCCTTATTGCCCTGGATGTATTTGGGCAATCTCCCCTTCTCCTCACTGCCGCACCTTGTTGAAATGATCATTTCAGAAAAGGGAGGCTGCCCCAAGGCTTCCCAAGTCAGATCTCCTCATTAGCATCAGTGTCACTGCTTATCCCCCTAAGGGCTAATCATAGCCTCTGAATCTCCCTTACTGCTGTACCCATGCCTCTCAGGTGTTTCCAGTCATCATTTAAGTGGGCATCTTGCCCCACACCAGCAGGCCACCTTAGGCCTCCACTCCCTTGTTAAAGCCTCAGCCTTCCCAGCTTCTGCCTCCGCTGACCTGGCTAGTCCCTCTAGCCTAGATCCACTGCACCAGGCCTGGCTCCTTGGGCTCCATCCCTTCTCTCAGGCTGTGGGCCCTCTGGCCCCAAGCTCTGCCCACCTCTGGGCTGTGGGCTCTGTCTCCCTGTTGTGCCTCTCTCAGTCTATGGGCTCCTGGCCCCAATCTCTGGCCCTTTAGGCTTGCAGGCTTCCTGGCCCTTTCTCTGCCCCTCCTGGGCTGTGGGCAGACTAGTCCTCTATATTTCCTCTTTTCTCTCTCTTGCTGCAATTGAGCTCCTACCCCATCAGGTTCTTCTTTGCAGTGCTGCAGCGTAGCCAGTAATTCCTCAAATCATATTTGTGCATGCATTTTTTTCTGTCCTAAGGGCAGGAATTTGCACTTGCCGTTATTGAATTTCATCTGATTGATTGTGGACCATTTTTCCAGTCTATCCAGGTAATTCTAGATCCTAGACCTACCTTTCAGAGTATCTGCAACTCCACCTAATTTGGTGTCATTCAAAACTTTATTAAGCATGCATTCAGTAACATCATCCAAATAAGTCATTACGATATTAAACAGTACTGGACCCAGGACAGACTCCCTGGCAAACTCCACTTGATATCTCCTTCCATTTAGATGTTGAGTCATTGATGGTTTCTCACTGAGCATGCTGATCTAACCAGTTATATATCCACATTACAGTATTATCATCTAGTCTGTATTTCCTAAGTTTAAGGAGAATGTTGTGGGAGACAATGTCAAGAGCCTTGCTAAAATCAAGGCAGATCACATCCACTTCTCTCTCCCGATGCACAGAGCCTGTCACATTGTCACAGAAAAAATTAGATTGATTAGGCATCATTTACTCTTGATGAATCCATGCTGGCTGTTTCTGATCGCCTTGTTCTCCTCTAGGTGTTTTACAATAGAGTCCTTGAGGACGTGCTCCATGAGCTTTCCAAGTACTGAGGTCAGACTGATAAGACTGTAAATTCCCTGGATCCTCCTTCTTCTCTTTTTTAAATGTGGGCACTAGATTTGCCCTTTTCCAATCATCTGCTTGTGAGCAGCGTCTTGGGTGAGCAGCAGCTTACCTGACCTCCACAAGTTCTCAAAGAGGATATCTAATGGCTCTGAAATTTCTTCAGTCAATTCCTTCAGTACCACATCCACTCTGACCCTGCCAAATTGAATGCATCTCATTTCTCTAAGTAACCCCCAATCTGTTCTTCCATTGCTTTAGGCTGTTTGAGTCCTTCCTTATTTTTGCTACCAGCTGTGCTTGTCATCTGGTTGCTGGTCCTATTTATAAAGACGGAAGTGAAAAATGCATTAAATGATTCAGTCTTCTCTGCATCATCCATAACTAGATTGCTTTCTGGATTCTGTTTGAGACCTATAGTGTCTTTGGCCTTTCTTTAACTCTTGATATTCTTGTAAAATCTTTTTTTATTGCCCTTTATGTGCCTTGCCAGTTGCATTTCACACTGTACCTTAGCTGCCTTAATTTCCCCCCACATGGTTGTATAATACCCTTACACTCTTCCCTAGTACTATGACCAAATTTACACATTTTGTATGATTCTTTCTTGGGTTTCAACTCATTGAAGAGACTGCTGTCTAGCCAGGCTGGTCTCCTTTTACACGTTGAATGATTTTGTTGTATCAGTTTGCTCCTGTGCCCTCAAAAGGGCCTCCTTAAAATACAGACAGCTCTCATGGACTTCTTTTCCCCTTAAACTTTCCTCCTAGGGAATCCTGCATACTAGCTCCATTAATTTGCTAACATCTGCTTTTTTGAAATCCAGCATCATTATTTTACTGCTGTCCTTTCTTCCTTCCCTTTGGACATATGAACTCTGTGATTTTGTGGTCACTGTCACCCTGGTTACCTCCCACCTTCACCTTCCTAACCATTTTTTTCCCTGTTTGTGAGCAGCTAGTCAAGAAGAACTTCTCTTCCAGTTGGTCTTTCTGCCATTTTTATTAAAAATGTCTCCCCAACACACGCCAAGAAATTGCTGCAGTTCTTGTGTACTGCTGGGTTTCCCTTGCAACCGATGTCCTTATAATTAAATTCCTCCATGAGATCCAGGCCCTGCAATTTGGAAACTTTCATCAGTTGTTTAAAGAAGGTGTCATCTATCTCTTCCTCCTAATTTGATGGTCTACAGCAGACCCCAACCATGACATCTTTCCTGCTGCTCCCCCCTCTAACCTTTACTCATAGGCTTTCAACAGGTATGATATTTGCATGAAGTGTCAGTCATATCAAATGAATGGAAGTTAAACCTTACTAGCATACTATTACGTATTCCTAGAGAATGTGACACTTTACAGACAAACCATTTTAAAATGTTTCAGTTGAGTCTCTTTTATTTCCTTATTTTTGACAAACTCTTGAGCTTGACTTTTATAGAGTTCAGAGAAAAAAAGTAATTATGAGTTTTTTTTAGGAATCTCTTAGTGATCTTCCTTTGCTTTTTCAGTTATAAATATCTCCATTTTAAGATATACTGGGGTAGTGCTTACAATATATTAATATATTGACATTAATTTTAATTGTGTAGGTATCATTTTAAAGAATCAGCTGACTTCAAGTTTTTTCAAGATGTATTCAATAGACTTAGAGCACAAATCATCTTTTCTCAAGAAAATGCTTTAAGGTGAAGCTGTATAGTTACAGATAAGAAGCCGGCCTTTCTCGTCCATAAAAATTCATATGCATGTGATCCTTCTTTCCTCAGAAAGTAAATTAAGGAAATTATTTCACTGTAGACAGGAGGGATGCCAAATAGCTTTAGAAATAAATGAGCTATGTAAAGAAACATGCATGCACACACCATCAGGGAGGAGAAAGGATAAATTAGTCTACAAAACAGGCAAATGTTTAGCATTTTGCCCATTTTAAAATTTAGTTCATTCCACAGTATTTTGCATCACAGCATGCTTCATCTGAATGGGAAACAAAATGTGAATGCTTCTCATTAATGTAGCACACAACGCCCACAACTGGGATTCTCCAGCTACCCGCAAATTACTTAGTCACACGTCCTTGCAATTTTTTTTGGAAATCCCTTTAGAGCTCATAAATACTATTCCTTAACTCTCTTGAGGTACTGCTGATGAAAGATGGGAGGCATAAAGAGGCACAAATCTTGAAGCCAAATTTGCTCCATGACAATGCATAGCACTTGGTAGATCACTGCCTTTTTTAAGCCTTGTCTAGATGCTTTTATTCAACTATAGAAGAATGGCTATAGAACTGTTTTCAGGCAAAGATAAACTCCAAATATTGCATAAGAGTTTATGGCTTAAGAGAAGACATGTAGTCAGATTATAGGCACCACTTGCAGCCTGTCAACAACTTTAAGGGAAGTAAGTTGGTAGGTTTCATTGTTCTCTTGGCAAAAAAGAAATCATTCAGTATAAATCGGCACTGGATATAAATCTAGTAGTACTGATGATTCTTACTAAGGAGATGTGTAGTACTATAATCACTTGGAAATTGAGTATTTTCTCTCAACTGAGAGGGAAGTGTGCTCCCATCAAGTCAAATATGATTGCCCTGCATTATACATTCCCTTTGAATTGACAGGGGAATTTAAATCTTAATTTATGTTGTTGTTGTTGTCATCCCACTACAAGTTCTTACCCCAAAACACAGGAGAGAAATTAAGTGTAATTGGTACTGTCTCTTTCTTGCACAGGTCAGACCAAGATGTCCAAACCTCTGCAACTGGTAGTGGGCACTTTGACCCCATCCTCTGTCTTCCTTTCCTGGGGCATCCTAGTCAATCCACATCATGACTGGACTGCAATGAGTAACTGTGCTAGTGACAGGTAAATACACCCAAAGACAGGATCTGTAAAACTCATTATTTCATTTGACATTTAAAACTGAAGAGTATGAAGGTAAGCAGCTGACCAAAATTTGACAACAGCAATCACATCAGCACTGATTAAGGCAAGCATTTATCTGCTAAAGTTTTCTCGCTATTCACATTTAGATCCTTTGTTCTTGTGAAGTTGCTGGGCCTGAGTCATACTTCAGTTACGCTACTACAAATCAAGAGTAACACAGTTTAAGTCAGTGGAAATACACTACTGTTACCCCATCCAAGCACAAGTTAAATCACTTATCGTCTGCACAAGTCTGGTAGAGGAAAGAACAAATTAAGATATCTTTTAATAATGCTTGATTTTTTTTTTTCCTGTATCTGTCCTTTTGAATTTGTTAATTTCCCATTAATGATAGCTTCCACTTGGAGTAGAATGTAAATTTTTAGGATTGGACCTAATTAGCACTGTACCTAAGTATTAGGATTTTGCTGGATTATGCCAACTAATTAGTGAGAATAAGAAACTGGGTCATCCGGTCAGAAAGGTTTGACTTGTTCACCAGGTGGCTATTTCTACAGAGGTCGGAGTGTCAGGCAGCTTTATCGGCTAAGTGGACTGTTAAATTTTAAGCAACTCTTTCCAAATGAAAACAATATGGATGCAATTCATGAACTGAAAGCCTTGTAGGAAGGAAGTGTTTCTATTTTCCTAGGTCTCTCTTTTTGGGTATTCCCTTTATGTCCCCCATGACTTCTGGCAGAGGGGCAAATACTGCCCTTATTTCTAGCCCCTCCGTTGAGCCCCATTGAATCTGGTGGGGTTTCAGGGAGTGAGTGAACAGAGTGTTTGTGCCTCATTATCCTGTTTCATGCCACTTCTGGTGCTTTGGAATAGCTTCCCCAGCTGCATGAACCCAATGACCTGGGTATCTTCCTTGAAATCTTTTATTAATCCACTACTTTTGCTTGGCCCATTATCCCTGCAAATGCTAACACCATCTGTTACCATTCTTATCCCAGATCCTTTCCTATATCTGTCTAGTTAGAACCCAATCTTGTTCCCCTTGAACCTAATGGTGAATCTTTTGCTAATGTGATCCAACTGGATATGGGCACTTACAGCTTTATCTGAAGCCCAGTGAAACTGGTGGAACTTTACATTGACTGAATTACACTTTGGATCACAGGATCAGAAGTTTCTTAAGGCAGGGAACTTTTCTATTTTTAACATTTAAGTGGAAAGACAGAAAGAGACTTCAGAGACAATGCCCAGCATATGCCCACCCAGCAAGAGATAGTAAGTGCATAGATTGTCACTTCCTTTGGTCAGTATGGGTGAACAGGGAACAATAAAATTTTCTTAAATACTCTCAACCCAAACATTAAACTTGCCATTTAACATACTTAATGGCACTTTCCACTAGGTTGTAGAGTGAGTGAATTTTATTTCCCCCTTGCAACCTACTGTGTTGAACTGTATTTAAGTGTGTTTTTATTCAGATTAGACATGTGCTTTCCTCCTCTAATAGTGCATAAAGCTCACCTGTACCATATCCATTTCTCAAATCTTCCAAAGTTCAGGTGCTTTCAAGAGTTCTTGAAACTCTTCTCCCACTTCTCTACAATATAATATTGACAAGTGCTGAATTGGACATTGCCAAGGTTGATAAACCCCATATTTGGGCTACCTTCTCTATTTAGAGAATTAGTTTGAAAGGAGAAGGAGAAAGGGTAGAGATAAAATAAAGTTTGATATCCTTTTTCCTTCTGCCCCCTCCCCACCACCATTGTATTGCATACCTGCAACCCCCAGTGCTGCATGGCATGCCCATGTGCACGCTTCATCACTGCACTGTATGCTTGTGACTGCCCACCCCAACATCCACCCAAGGCTGCACTGCATGCCCTGTCCCTTGGAGCTGGCACAGGAAGCAGCAAATGGAGGAGCAAGAGGGAACCCAGAAACTCAGACTGTCCTTGCAGCCACAGTGACGGGAGGAGTGGTAGCTAGGTGGGAGTCCAGGGGCTGCAACTTAACCACTTGTGGGCTGCATGCAACCGAGAGGCCACCAGTAGGAAATCTAGTTAATCCTGCATTTTTAACATCACGTTGACTGTATTTAAAGTGTTAATATTCTACTGTTGTGGTTAGCCGCTGCTGTTTACCAGCAGTGTGGGGTAAATGTATTCTCCTAGCAAAATGCATGCATTCATATTGACATTAGGGTTGGAAATTTTACGTCTGGGTGTCCTGAAGCAGAGTCAGTGTTTTCAGTGACGCAAATTTTACCATCTGACAGATGTCCGGATGGTCATTAGGCTGTTATACAAATGTTGCATAATGTAGTCTAGTTGGACACATCACTGACTTTGGAGATGGAAACCATATGGTACAACATTGGCCAAGTTCCCCCCTAGAGTAACTCTGACTTCAGTGGAATTACTCCTTGGAAGATTTGGCAGTGTGAGCAGATGGCACAAAGGAGTATTGAACCAGTAGATGTCATATTTCCAGGGAAATCACTGACTATGTTATAACTCTTCTATTAGGTCAGTGAAGTTTCCATGTATATGTTGCAGGTATACCACTTTCATCAAATGTCAAGAAATACACATATTTAAAAACTCTAGCCATATGCTTGACAAGAGATTTACCTATGGCATTTCTTACAGGTGATCTTCATGTTGTTTCCATATCATTCTGATATCTCTCTCTGACACTTTTCAACATTACTAAATGAAGAGCTTGCTTAATGGAGTACCTTCTGCCTCCTGCAAGGTGCTCAACGTCCTTAGCGGCCAATGAAATGATTGAAGACACGCTGTATTACTTTGGATAGTACTCAGTTCTTCGTAGACTCAGAATCAAAGCTTCCTAGCTTTGCTCTATTTGATAGGAAAACTTTCACACAAAGTTTAAGACTCAAGCCATGTCTACATGAGACGCTGACTACACAGTACTTCATTGCTGCTGTGCAGCCAGTGTCACAGTAACTCTGGTTTCTGCACAGTCAGTGTCTCATTTGGACATGGCCTGTGTGTATGGAGGAGGAATAGTATTTATTTTTGTGTCTTAAATGCAAAACACTGTTAAGTAGGGTGACTATACATCCTGGTTTGGCCGCAACAGTCCCAGATTTTGTAGGCCATCCCAGCATCCTGGCCGGTTGGTGAATATTGAAACAAAAGTTCCAGAATTGGCTGCTGCAGGAAGAGGCAGATGAGCAGGGGCACAGGGCACACTCCAGCGTGGAGACAGAATAGGAGTGTCCTAACATCGTCCTAACACTCTCTCAGCACTGAGAAAAGAATTTGGCAGGCTGAATTTGTCTGCCTCAAAGTGTTGGCCTTAGATGTGGGCCACATGGATGACTGCCCAGAGCACTGTGGTCCGGCAGCAGCAGTGCCTGCCCGCACGCCTGGGTGGCATATGATGCCACTTCGCCTCCCTGCCAGACTGTCTCTCATGCCCCTGCCTGCCTGCCTGCCTGCCTGCCTCTGTGTCTGCCTGCAGCAGAGCTGCTGACTTGTAGGGTTGGGGGCAGTATCCCAGATTTCCTTAAAAATAGTATGGTCAACCTGTTGTTACGGCAGGGTTGTGCTTATATAATTAAACATCTCAAGGTCAAGAAGTACAACAGTGCCACCCTCAGTGTTAACTCTGTTTTATGCATGTCCTGTATTTTTGTGGCAGTTAGATGAGGGGCAGGACAAAGTCAAAGGACTCTTCACTTTCTTCCATTTTGGGTCCCCATACACATATTAAACACAGCTTGTCATTGTGCTTGGATAAGTGCAGGAATCTGCCCCATCTAGTGTGCCTGGGGCATGAGCAACTATGTAAGACTCAGGAGGTAGGGACGCCCTACTAGGGAGAACTTTGAAGCTTGACCAGATGGAAGAGGAAAAGAGCACACTGGTCTATACCATCTTAAAGGTGCACTAAATGTCTCCTTGCCTAGCAGGTCTGCCCTTGCTCTTCCCTGTAGCACAGCTTGTCTGGACCTTTCCATGGCTAAGAGCTGCTCCCTATTATGCCTATACTTAAGAGGCATAGTTGGAGCTTTCCTCAGAAGAAAAAGGAACTGAAAGTATTGTGTGTGCATAACATGACTGGGTTAAGAACTTTGCAAAATTTATATTGACGTTTCCTGAAATGGCATGCAATTTTAATTGTCTTAATGTTGCAACAATGAGGGGAGGGCAGGGGGGATTGGTCATTTTATTTCCCATGGTAAATAGAAATAAGGCGTGAAAAACCAAAACCATTTTGTTGCCTTGTGGAACATGCTTATACATTTCCTTAAATCCAATTAGCTCGCTGTACACACATCCAGCTGTGAGGAGCTACAGTGTCATTAAGCATGCAGCTTACCACTTAATGAAACTTTCTTCTGTGAATTTTCATTCCTGTGTTCTGCCTCTACAAAATTCCTCAGTGAAAATTATTAACACACTTACTTTAACATTTTGAAGTTCAGTTTTTACTATCAGAAAAACAATGCTGAAAGTTTGTTTGAGCAAGGGAAAATGCATTGGTTGCTATCATTCCATATGTCAAAAAATCAAAGTCATTTTGATAAATTTATCCAAAAAAGACATATATTTAACAATATGAGGGCCATATGACTATTGAAATTGTTTAGACAGGAATGACCCTACACTGAGCAGAGATTTGGGTTAGGTGACCTCTTGGGGGTCATTTCCAGTCCAGTTTTTCCAATGATTCTATATATGTCAGTGGCAGTAGCTTTCAGAAGAAACTTGACTATACTGGGGGAATAATGAACCTGACTGTATGCATACACTTGAAAAGAACAAAGTAAAACTTAAGAAGCAGAGTAAATCAATTTTTCTAATTATTTTGTTATAGTAATAATAAGGTTATTTGAAATAATAACAAAGTAAAAAAAACGTAGCATGTAATTAGCAAGTTGGTAGAGTTCTCTTAATAAAACTGACCCATTTTCCTTGAAAAAATCGCACTGAAATGACCAGCCT